GTAGGATTACATATAGGTAAGATGACATGAACGAGTGGTTCTATCATAAGCCTGCATAAAACAGTATACAATATAAAAGACAATATACAAGGACAGTAACCACATACACAATGACCTGAAGGATATGTGTTCATTCAAAGAAAGGTTTTCCTATGAATTAATTAGAGAAACAGTCAATTTCTCTGGGCATTATGTGTCTTTCCTATGATGAAAATGAGTGAGTTGCTCTGCCCGCATTCCTTTGGGCAATAAAACCAGTGATATCAGCATTGGTTGCCATGGAACCAGAGGCCTGTTCTGCCTTTCTGAGGTGTTAGATGCATTTCGGGGGAAGGGTCCATCGACCCTCGTAGTTGATTTGTTGACTGAGGGGTGTTACAGAGTATTTGTTAAATATAACAAAAAAATTTGTGTGTCTGGTTGGTCCAGACGCTACAGAGGCGAAGGTAAGCGCTATCGCAGAGTTTCCAGGCCCTACTTCGCGAAAAAAACTGCGTAGATTTTTAGGGATGGCTGGGTATTATCGGAATTTATGTAAGAACTTCTCCACTGTTGTTAGTCTGCTGACGTCACTCCCCAGCCCTTCGCACGCGTTTTTCTGGTCCAATGAATGTCCGAACGCTTTTGAAAATGTTAAAGCTTTATTATGTAGTGTTGCTTGTTGTGTTTTCTTTATGATGATGACGTGTACATGAAGGCTCTTGATGCATGCTTAATCAGCTTTAGCATGTAGCTTTTTTATCACTTTTCATCTACGCAACATGAGTGTTAACTCCTCAGCAGCAAACACACAACCTAACCTCTGACTAATTTGCATTACCTATACTGACAGGTGATACAGCCAAAAGGAACAGAGAATACGTTGCTTCTGACATATGGTGGGTTGAGCCAAAAGTAAGAATACTACATCCCCCTTCTTTTAAAATAATACAACAAAGTACAAAATATTGCATAACATATTAAGTAAAAGAAGGAATTCAGTTTTCAAATTATATGCACAAACTAGTATGCTAATAAACTATTAGACTGAAGTGCAAATATACTGTGTATTCGCATAGCCATAGATTGTCACATACACGAATATAAACTGCATTGAACATTTGGAATGCATTGTACATTGAATTTTCTTTTGAAAGGTCAGCGATCCGCCTACACCCTTGTACAATCACAGATCCAGAATGACTCTGGGTTTTATCTGTCGTCCATATCTGGTTCTGTAAGTAGTGCATTTGGGCAGCCCATCAGTGTGGTCAGGTGCGTGTACAATGTCATTGTGTGGTCTACTGTTGGTTGATGTTGCACATAGTTCAGCACCTTCATTCCTTACTGATACGTCAGAACTGTCAATTTGAGATTCTTTTGTGTCCAGGAGGTGGCGTCTGTTTCGTCGATACTCCTGTCCATCAGCAGTACGCAGATGATATGATCTCTCAGTGTTGGCTGCTCTGACGATAACAGCTGGCTTCCAGTATCCTTTTAGCCCTAGGACAGGGGGTTTTCGAGCGTTAATTCAGAGCCCACATTCAAAAGTTTCTCTCTCACTTTCGGCGAATGTATCCCGAACACAATGCGATCTCGGATCATCTCGTCACTATTTGCATAGTTACAGTCTTTGACAAGCAGACGCAGATCTGTCACAAAATGCTCGAAAGGCTCGCGCTCTCCCTGCACCTTTTCATGGAATTTGTAACGTGCAAATATCACATTCGCTTTGGGCTCAACGTATGTTGTGAAGCGGTCGTAATAGGACTTTAAGATCTTTGCTTCATCTGCAGACAGTGACCATGTATTAAAAATGTCTCTGCCCTTTTCTCCGACCCATAGGAGAAGATAACTACATTTTTCATCCTCACCCTTTTTCTTTAGGGGTCCGCTGAACATTAACTCTGCGTGCTGTTGAAATTTGCGCCATGACTCGGGCAGGTTAGTTGCTTCCCAGTTCATCGTGGGCATTGGGACTCCGGCAGTATCCATCTTTTCTATATATCATCCGTTCACTCTGACACCATGTCGTGTTTTCTTTATGATGATGCACGCATAATCAGCTTTAGCATGTAGTTCTTTATTAAACACTTTTCAGCTACGCAACATGAGCGCTAACTCCTCAGCAGTAAACACACAACCCAACATGCCTGATTTGCATTACCTATACTGACAGGTGATACAGCCAATAGGAACAGAGAATACGTTGTTTCTGACATATGATTGGCTGAGCCAAACGTAAGAATACTACATCCCCCTTCTTTTAAAATAATACAACAAAGTACAAAATACTGTATAACATATTAAGTAAAAGAAGGAATTCAGTTTTCAAATTATATGCAAACTAGTATGCTAATAAACTATTAGACTGAAGTGCAAATATACTGTGTATTCGCATAGCCATAGATTGTCACATACACGAATATAAACTGCATTGAACATTTGGAATGCATTGTACATTGAATTTTCTTTTGAAAGGTCAGCGATCCGCCTACACCCTTGTACAATCACAGATCCAGAATGACTCTGGGCTTTATCTGTCGTCCATATCTGGTTCTGTAAGTGGTGCATTTGGGCAGCCCATCAGTGTGGTCAGGTGCGTGTACAATGTCATTGTGTGGTCTACTGTTGGTTGGTGTTGCACATAGTTCAGCACCTTCATTCCTTACTGATACCTCAGAACTGTCAATTTGAGATTCTTTTGTGTCCAGGAGGTGGCGTCTGTTTCGTCGATACTCCTGTCCATCAGCAGTACGCAGATGATATGATCTCTCAGTGTTGGCTGCTCTGACGATAACAGCTGGCTTCCAGTATCCTTGCTCCTGCACTCTAACTGCATGTCCATCCTTGAGCTGAGACAAAGGTCTTGCTGATCTGTCATAGTAGCTCTTTTGGTGTTGTTGCTTGTGCAGTCTCTTTGCTCTGACATCCTTAAAGCTGACAACCTTTGGCAGGATCTGCTGATTGGTATTGGGTAAGGTTGACCGCAGACGGCGACTCATTAACAGCTGAGCTGGGGACTTGAATCCATCAACAGGGCTGTTGCGATACTCCAGAAGACTATGGTATGGGTCACTTTTGTCAGCTTTGGCTTTTCCCAGTAACATCTTTGCAGTGTGTACAGATTTCTCTGCTAACCCATTACTTTGTGGGTGGTATGGGCTTGTGGTAGTATGTGTAAACTCCCATGTTTTTGCAAATGATTCAAACTCACCAGAGCTGTACTGGGGGCCGTTGTCTGAGACGACAGCTTCGGGGATGCCCATGTCGTGCAAAAGAAGCCTTTAGTTTACTTATCACAGCAGCAGAGGTTGTACTGTGGAGCTTGTCCAGCTCAAAATATCTGCTGTAATAGTCAACTGTCACAAGATAGTCCTCGTTGTTCCAGGTGAACAAATCAGTAGCCACTACTTGCCATTGCCTATCTGGGATTTTGTGACTGATCATGGGCTCTTTGGTGTTGGAGGAGCGATACGTGATGCAGATCGAGCACTTGCTGATGATGTTCTCAATTTCTTTCCCCATCCCAGGCCAGAACATGATGTCACAGGCCCTCTGCTTGCTCTTCTCGATGCCTAGGTGACTGGCATGTGTGAGTGACAGCATGTCTGAACGAAGGCTTGTGGGAACGACAATCTTCTCACCTTTGAAGATTATTGCATGCAGGTATGAAAGCTCATCACGGTGGTTCCAGAATTCAGACACACTCAGAGGACACTTTCTTTTCTCTTCAGGCCAAACTCTTTGTATGACTCCTTTCAATATCTGAAACTGTGGGTCCTTTTCGGTTTGAGCTCTGATTTCCTCCAATTTTGAGTCACTGACAGGAAAGCTGCTGTACACTGTGTGCACCTCCATATCCATTCCTTCACTGAGGCTCGTATCCTGGTCAGACAACGACTTTCTGGATAATGTGTCTGCAACAGGGATGTCCTTGCCTGGTCGATGTATTATGGTGAAGTTATACTTCTGGAGCTGAAGGATCATCCTCTGAAGCCTTGGGGGAACTGATGCCAGAGGCTTCCGCATTATTGACTCAAGGGGCTTGTGGTCACTCTCAACAACGACTTGGCGGCCATAGATGTATTGATGGAAACGCTTACAGCCAAACAGTATAGCAAAGAGTTCTTTCTCTATTTGAGCATAATTGATTTCGCTCTCAGAAAGGGACTTTGAGTATGCGATAGGTTTTCCATCCTGCGTCAGTACTTCCCCGAGCCCGTACTTGGAGGTATCGACCTGTAATCTGAGCTCTTTGTGAGGATCAAAATAGGCTAAGACTGGGCCTGGTTCACATGTGAGTAGCTCTTTCACCTTCTTGAAAGCTTTGTTGTGTTGGACATCCCAAACAAACTCACTTGACTCATTAAGGAGCTGTCGCAGTGGTGCGTTGACATCGGAAAGGCCAGGTGCAAATTTGGAGAGGTAATTGATCATACCTAGCACTGTCTCGAGTTCTCCTTTGTCTTTAGGTGGTTCCATGTCTCTCACAGCAGCGACTTTGGCCGGGTCTGGCTTTACCCCTTCAGCAGTGAGCAGATGCCCAAAATAGCTCACCTCTGTAGCACAGATCATGCTTTTTTCTGGATTGAGCTTGACTCCTCTCTCTCTTGAACGCTGCTAAAGCATAACATGGAGGTTTTCATCATGCTCGGCTTTGGTCTTTCCATAAATGAGAATGTCATCGGCTATGGCCATGACCCCATTCAAACCTTCAAACGTTTCATCAATTTTTAGCTGGAACTCGTCTTGGGCTGAAATCAGTCCGAAGGGGAGGCGTAAGAAACGGTAATGCCCAAAAAACGTGTTGAAAGTAGTTAGTCTTGACGACTCCTCAGTGAGCTTAATGGCCCAATAACCCGATCTGGCATCTAGAATGCTAAAATATCGGGCACCAGCGAGCTTGGATGTTATATCTTCCAGAGTGGGTAATGGGTAGTGAGGTCGCTTAATGGCCTTGTTAAGGTCCCTCGGGTCCAGGCACACCCTCAGCTGACCTGTGCGTGGTTTTTCAGCTACAACCATGGATTTAACCCATTCGGTTGGGTCTGTGACTTTAATGATAACACCCTGTCTTTCCATGCTCTCAAGCTCCTCTTTGAGATGGCTGCGTAATGCAAGAGGAATACGTCTGGGTGGGTGAACTACTGGGGTTGCATGCGGATCTAAGTGTATGGTACATTCACCTGGAAACAGTCCAATCCCCTTGAAAACATCTGCAAACTTCTCCAAGACTGGCACCTCCGTCTGTGTTTCTGTAACTGACAGTACCATCTTAATGAGGCCAAAGTCTATGCATCCTTTTAGCCCTAGGACAGGGGGTGCATTTGTGTCGACTACATAAAATGTCATAACCATATCAATGTCTTTGTGCTTGCATTTCAGGTTGCATTTGCCTTTTACCACCAGGCATTCACCACCATAACCATACAGGGCGCGAGATGTCGGCTGCAAAGTGCACTGCATGTCCAATTTGGTGTTCTCATACAGGGGTATGATATTAGCTGAGGATCCCGTGTCCAGCTTGAACTTGATTTCATGCTGTTTTGGACCTATTTTAATGTTCACAAAAGCCTGTTCCGTGTTTGAGCTCTGTCTGCCCTGTGTCACTGAGTCAATAAACAGCTCATCACACTCCTCAGGCTGGTCTGAACCTTCTTGACCTATTGCATGAACAGTTTTCTCACAGTTAGAGCGACATACTTTTGCAAAATGGTTTAATTTACCACATACTTTGCACACCTTTCCTTTTGCAGGACAGTGAGAGCAATCAGCATGACGCTTGTTTCCACAGTAGCCGCATCCTTTGGGGTACACTGAAGGAGCATTTCTAGGCTGCAAACTGTCGCTGTATCTCTTTGTGTACTTGGCGTTACGTTGCTTTGAAACTGAGCCTTTTGATGTGTGGCCGGAGATTGCGTGCACTGCATGTTCACGTGATGTACTCATGCTGCTTGCAATGGTTTTTAACTGTGCTTGAGCCAACTCGTGAGATCTAGCGACGTCTATCGCTTTTTCGAGCGTTAATTCAGAGCCCACATTCAAAAGTTTCTCTCTCACTTTCGGTGAATGTATCCCGAACACAATGCGATCTCGGATCATCTCGTCACTATTTGCATAGTTACAGTCTTTGACAAGTAGACGTAGATCTGTCACAAACTGCTCGAAGGGCTCGCGTTCGGCCTGCACCTTTTCATGGAATTTGTAACTTGCAAATATCACATTCGCTTTGGGCTCAACATATGCTGTGAAGCGGTTGTAATAGGACTTTAAGATCTTTGCTTCGTGACCATGTATTAAAAAAGTCTCGGCCCTTTTCTCCGACCCATAGAAGAAGATAACTGCATTTTTCATCCTCACCCTTTTTGTTTAGGGGTCCGCTGAACATTAACTCTGCGTGCTGTTGAAATTTGCGCCATGACTCGGGCAGGTTAGTTGCTTCCCAGTTCATCGTGGGCATTGGGACTCCGGCAGTATCCATCTTTTCTATATATCATCCATTCACTCTGACACCATGTCATGTTTTCTTTATGATGATGACGTGTACATGAAGGCTCTTGATGCACGCATAATCAGCTTTAGCATGTAGCTTTTTTATTTAACACTTTTCAGCACGCAACATGAGTGCTAACTCCTCAGCAGCAAACACACAACCTAACCTCTGACTAATTTGCATTACCTATACTGACAGGTGATACAGCCAATAGGAACAGAGAATACGTTGCTTCTGACATATGATTGGTTGAGCCAAATGTAAGAATGCTACATTCCTGTCCTTGCAGCACTGGTGTATGAAAAAGCCTTCAAGTTGGAGATTGACGCAAGTTCTGTTGGTGTGGGCGCAGTGCTTATTCAAGAAGACATCCATGGTAACTTTCAATGTAAATTCGTTGGGAACCAATGGGAACTGTTTTGTTGCCAACATTCTTCACAATATCTTTAATGTTGCACAGAAGAAAGAATTGCATGCAGGTTTGGATCAACATCATGCTGAGTAAATAATGAGAGAATTTTCATTTTTGGGTGAACTATCAATTTTATTTAATAACAAGCTAACAATGGAGTCTCTAAGCCCACATACAGTGCTGCATATGTTGTGTTTCAGACAATCTCTTTGTTTAGCTGAAGATCCCTCAGCTGTTTACAGACACAGAGGTGGTTTCAGCTCTGCTGCATGGAGATCTTTGGGGAGGAAATGTGGCTGAATGTTCTGACGGTCCCATCATCTTTGACTCAGCATCGTTTTATGGCCATTCAGAGTTCGAGCTGGCTATAGCCGGCATGTTTGGTGGTTTTGGGGGTTCGTTATACAATGCTTACCATGAGAAGATCCCCAAGGCCACTGGCTTTGCAAAAGAGGCAGCAACTATTCCAGCTGTTCCATTATCTGAACCACTGGAATCATTTTGGTGGTGGCTAGAGGTTCTTCTCTACGGATCATGAGGGATCTAGCAAAGTAGATGCACCCTGATTTATTAAAATATCCCCTTCAAATTAATGAAGGTGAAAGTTAAAATAATTAAGTCACACACTTTGTGCATGACCAAGTGAACCAGTCTAATAGAAATGCATTGGCCAGGTGAAAGTCTGTTGTTTTAAAATAACTTACACTGATTAAAAATATCTTATATATCATATATATTCTAAAAGGTAAATCTGTGAATTTATGCTTCCAAACAACGGCCAATTAATAAGTTGGTTAAAAGAGATCATTCCCTTTTTGTGAATTGCGCTTTAACTTGATTACATGGATATGCTCTTGAAGAGAGCCTCATTTACTAAACTTGATTTAATATGTGTGCACTAAGTAGCATCATATGATAAGTTGCATTTCACTGCAGTATTACTAATTATTATTAATCTACTGTTGATTTGAAACATCTTATTAAAAGAGCTACTGAGCTTGTACTGTAAACTTTCAGCTAGCAAATACATAAAGGATGTTTGGACATTGAAATAAAACTTTAAAAAAAACTTTGTGTTGGTATGGTATTGATTTTATTTAGTGAGTGACGTGACGTGACATGTGGCCAAGTATGGTGACCCATACTCGGAATTAGTGCTCTGCATTTACCCATCCAAAGTGCACACACACAGCAGTGAACACACACACCGTGAACACCCACCCCGAGCAGTGGGCAGCCATTTATGCTGCGGCGCCCGGGGAGCAGTTGGGGGTTCGGTGCCTTGCTCAAGGGCACCTCAGTCGTGGTATTGAAAGTGGGAGAGAGCGCTGTACATTCACCCCCCCCACCTACAATCCCTGC